TGCCCAGGAAATAAACCCTATTTACATCCGCTACCGGTCAACACAGTATGCTCAACTTGCATCTCTAGAACTCCTCCCCATCCAACCCCCCCGGACCGCGAATGACTCCATTCACTTCCAAAGCGTTTGTGTGGGCGCCAAGGCTACTACGTATGATGTGCTCTCAAGAACACATTGCTCTCTCGTAGCCAGGGGGGTTTTCCGAGCGTTATATCGGTACTGTACTTATATACTCAAACATCCATTAGGTCACAACGGCCAATAACCCATACCGGGGTTCATCACAAAGCTCAATGTGCAGGCGCACTGCAAGATTCCCCATCAGATCGGCGAGCCAAGTCTTTGTTTTTTCCCACATCCACAGAACACGACACCCACGCACGTAAACGGTAACACCATACCGCCTCGGACACCACTGCGCCCCCTGCGGCGCGTCACGCATGCTCCAATACAGCACAGCACACAACACCGAACTACATATAAGCAGAGGATTGGCACTATCTACAGTATCACCTTAGGCAGGCACGGTAATAAACCCACCCCTTCCTAAATCCATGCCATGTCTGCACAGTAGCGCACAAGTCAACTCAAAATGGCCGCACGGATTCGGTCTGGTCGTTACCACACCTCCGCTGGAGCCCGCACAGTACCGGTACGAACGACAGCACAGAGCCTCAACGCATAGAAGGTACTTGTACGAGTATCCGCAATTCCGGTTCTCCATCGATCGATCAAAGCGTGGGAGTCTGCATGCCGTTTTCGGCGATTTCGCATGGTCTATTTATTGGCACCGGAAATTGTTAGAATCAACTTGGCTAATACCGGACCTTCACGTGTTGGTGTTTTTTCCATCAGAGTAATTCCGGGAAACTTCATAATAGTAGCGATGGATTCCTTGCGCGGAGCTGAGCATGGGGTTTACTGTATGGTACTGTACTCGAGTACCGGTACGTGTACGAGTACATTACCTGGGCGGATCAATAAACCCGGCTGGGCGAGATTCCATCGTAATCTCCACACTGCTGTCACCTTCCTGGAATCGAACAGCGCAGGTGAGCTCGGGATTTGGTTCGTTTGTTGGGGTACGGGTATGGCAGATTGCGATGACGCGCCCTGTGTAAACGAAAGGAAATGCTATTATTGTATTATAAGTTAATTGGTTGTGAGAGTTTGCTGTTATTTTGTTCCGATATCCTGCCGGTACACAAACTACGCAGATCAACCCGTCGAATCTTCTCTTTTTAAAAATGAAAAAAAGGGGTTGGGGGGAATTACGGTAATAAATAGTCAGTTGTAGTAACTACCGTTATTGTACCCATGCATGGTCGTACCGGTACTCAAACTGTACTCGTACGGCACAGCACCCATACCGGTACTCGTACAGCACTGGTACAGTAGTGCCGGACACCAAAAACCGACCCTTTTGTTACTCCTTTGCTTAGTAATACACACAAAAAGAGGGGCAGGTGGCCGTTTGTCATATTTGTATGCATAATATGCGTGTTCACTTTTTTTTCCTTTCCAAATACCCCTCTTTCCGCTGTCTACCGGTGCTTGCTCTGCCGAAAAGTTGAGTATAGAATTAAGGAGAAACCAATTTTAAGAAGTTCTATACAGCTTTGCTGCTGGTCCGTCTTTGGGTTTGGTTGTGATGAGGGTCGATTTCAGAAGCCCGGCACCGCGGCAGAAAAATTGCCCACGCCGGAAGGGAGGTTTTCCCAACACCATACCGCACAATTCCGTAAAACAGGGTATGATATTTCAATTGGGATACTCGAGTACCGGTACCAGTGCTTGTGCCCGTACTTCACTGCACTGCTGCACATTCATTCGTGCGCGTACGGTGGGAGAGGTGAGCGTGGGTGTTGGCATCATGTCCAACGTTCAATGCCGAATGACCTTTCTCTCATTCCCCGGGAATTGGACGAATCCGCAACCATTCACTAGAGCCGCTTGGCCCCGCCGATAAATCACAATTTTCATTGAAAATTCTCGGTTTACCAAAAGGGAAGCAAGCGGCTTCGGGACCAGTCCTCAGTAGGAGAGCATCATTTACCCAGAAGCCAAGGAGAGCTTGGACCAAAACAGCTAAGTACTGCCACTATCTACTCGTATTCAGGCACTTTTCGAAAGGAAGAAGAAAAAAGTTGGCCCCACAGGAGCCAAACGCCCCCAATCTACCCTGGGTGCAGAGAGAAAAAGGGAAGATTACCGATATCGCATGGCGAGTGCATATGTGATCACTCGAAGGTATTGCGATATCTGACATCCATCTGGAAGGAAGTAACCGAAGATGAAGCAGCTTGCGTTAAGTTACTACTTGTAGGTGAGAGAGATTGTGCACAATTTGGAATACCGGTAAATCGCCTCAGGGTTGTTGGGGGCTGGAGGTGAAAGGGTTGGGTGGGTCGGTACGGTACAGTACGGTACTCGAGTGCTCGAGTAGGTGTGTTTGATTATGCTAGCCAGGGTTGGAAATTTTGTTGTTGACTTATCGGTTAGGCTACCGGTATTCCTCGAGATCAACCGTGCAAAGGTGAGTGATGGAGTAATTGGAAAAGAGAAAAAGTATAGTCTACCGGTAATTTAGCTATGATAACATGTGGTAAAAGAAGGAATATCGACAGTCGAGATAAATAGAACGTCATTAGGTTTTTGGAGATTTTCATACGGTCTTCGCAATTCGTTTGGTCCGTCTCGCGGACCGTCGGTTGCTCCGGGGAACTCAACCCCTTGCATACCCGCGGTTAAATTTAGAATCCAATTTCTCCCAGCACTTCTCCATGGGAGAAAGTGATGGGGCATTTGGAATTCAGAGGGGAAATGGATAGAAGGTGGCTCCAGTGAAATTATTTCCTTCACACTTTCTGCACTGTTGATCCCCCAATTGTCTGCCGGGCGGACTTGATTGGGGGGGGCGGGAATAGCGTGTGCGCATTATTTTCCAGTGCCCACACCCATCATCCACCCCACCATTTTTTTGCTTCTTGCACACGCTGGATGGATGAAGGGAAGAGAGTAATTTTTTTCGTTGGTTGATGCTAGGAGATGATAAAGTCCGTCCGTCCCGGCCAACCATTTGCTTGGAAAAAGAAAGGTTGGAAGATGATTGAATACCAATTGGATCGCCATCAGCTGGACAGATACAGTATGACGATGAACCATGAGATTTCTCCACCGGTACCACCCACTCTAGCTCTCATGGGTTTACTGTACTCGAGTAACCCGTCACCGTAAGCTAAAGGAGCGGGAAGGAAGGAAGGGGAAGATCTTTCCAAAAGCCGTTGTGCCATACCCATTGTTCGTTTCTCGAGATCCCAACCCCAACGAGAAATCTTCGTGCCCAGCGTTCCAGAAAGGGAAGCACTGGCAATCTGTACTCGTATTGTACTCGTACAGTACAGTACTGAAGAGTATTCTCCACCATGTAATTAGAGTACAAGTACCGGTATCTGGTTGTGGCAAGGGGCTCTGTGTGGGGCATTCGATCTGGCGAGCAACCGGCTAGTATTCGAGTAAATAGAAACTTCCCCCCTAGAAAAAGACCTATTGAAGCGACATGCGACCGTGGATGAAGCGAGGATTCGTTTATTTTTTCTCTTAGCGGCGTGCGACACTGAGTTTAATGAACCGCCCTCAACCTCAACGGGAGAGTACTGTACCAGTACCGGTACCTGTACGAGTACTAGTATCATACTCGTAGCGTGGTGGTGTAAAAATCTTCGTTGCCCTGGGTTGGAGCCTCCCCCTGCCTAAGATACTTTCAATGCCGGTAGCACTCGTAGAAGCCCGAGACTAGAAGTGAGGAATTGGGGGGGGGAAGTTGTGGTAACGTTTTGGCAGGGGTTCGGGTTGCGCTGTAAGTACTTTTTTTTCTCCCACTGAAATTATCTATCATCGCACAAGTTGGCGCATTTGCACATAGCGCCCTGTTCCGTGATCCTGCTCGGTGCGCGAGGGGAGATTACGGTTTGGCCGCAGACATCCAGATGGTGCCTGAGTGGAAATGCTGTTTCGCAGTGGGCCATCAAGTCCATTGGCGGTGTTCGAAATGATTCTAGCGTAAGATGACTTTGCTGGCCATTTCCGGATCTCTGATTCCTGTCGACAACGATGATGACCTCTGTTGCTGTGGTTGAGTTTAAAAAAAGTACGCGAACCAGCGTCTTCGGGCCTGTCATACCCACATGATAATATATATTCAGAATCTTCATTCTTCACCCGTGGAGTCGCGATGCGTCCGGCTAGAAGTCTACGGTAGGTGCAAGTCCCGTACCTAGATGTATGCTCGATAGGTTAAATGTCTGCCAGCTGGCGATGGCAAAGTTAGGAATGAGAAATAAGAAAGGAGCCTTACCGTTACCGGCATATGAGATCTTAATTTGTGTAGGCTTTTGTACCCAAATGTAGTTCTTTCTTGTGCACCGGTAATGTCTCCTTTCGTGATATACATCCTATATACTTGGAAAAACAAAGAGGTACCTAGCCGTCGAGTAGAAGCAATTGAGCCGCGGGAGTTTGCATCGGGCGAGCAGTGGCTTCCTGATCGAGGTGTCGATGACCTGATATCCGTATTGTTGATGTTTTTCCTTACTGTAATATATATTTTTTTATATTTATTGATTCCCACACAAATTTAGCTTGCGAAGTGGATCGTGACGGAGTATCTATACGGTAGTCATAAGTAGATGTATGATAACCTCAAGGAGAAATCTGTAACTTTTCTTTAGCGCCAGTAGACAAACCTCTCTTGTTTTAACTTCTCTCTCTGTTGGGTCGAGAGTTGTGAGAGCGAGAATAACAAAAATCTTGTCCCGAACGTTCTTCCCGTCGTGCCAATTTGCCCCTGTCCATTCCCCATTTCATATTTTTTCGTCCCATCTCCCTTTTTCTCTCTTCTTTCATCATACTTCATCGTCTCCTCCGCCCCCCCTTCCCCTTCCCCTTCCCCCTTCCCTCCCCCCCCTCTCTTTCCCTCTCTTCCCCCCCCCTTCCTCTTTTGTTCCTGCCACCACCTGGGTCAAACTTCTTTCCGGCACGGGGTGTAAGGTCCACAGGATCATCGGTAAAAGAACTCCAGAAAAGGACTCCTAGCTAAGCTGTGGATAGCCTCTCAAGTCACTCCTTTAAAGTTCTGCAACTTGATACATACGCCATTCTTTCTTTCTTTCTTTCTTTGGCTGCATTATCATATGCGTCAACATTTCATACGGTTCGTACCACCATTTTGGACGTTGCGTCTAATGGAATTATGCAACCCTCTCTTTTCTCTCTCTCCTCCGTCTCTCCACTAACACGGTACTCAATCAAAACAGCTAGATCCAGCATCCAAACGGATCCAACCAAAACACACTCACTCTTTTCATAACCAAGTTTCTTCGACCTCGTGCCGGTGTTCACATTCGAATTATCACAGCGACAGCGTGCCCGCTCCTTGGCCGTGCAAAAATATTCTACGAAAAGAAAAGAAGTCTCTTAAAATAGAATTCCATTCTATCGTCGACCCCAATTGTTATTGCAGGGGAAAAAGTAACCTTTCGGCTTTTCTTGTCCATTTTCACTATCCCTCAAGCCCTCAGATTGGTGCCATCTTTTTTACGTCCTGCAACGCCATCTTTTCTTAGGACGCGCGACTGGACTCGCTTGGTTTGAAGGTTTTAGTTTTCGTTGATAGACTCTGGATAGGGGAATTTTAGTGCCCTTTTTATTATTACTATTGACGGCTCAATTACGATTCACAAACGAACCCATAAGAAATTATTGCTGTCGATTGGCTGTCTATCTGTCTATTTCCTTGTGTGCTGAGTAGATTTGGGTATGGAGAAATCGGGAAAGCCTGGTAGCCACGACGGCGTAAGCGCCGGAGGGACTAACAAGAATACGGGAACAGACGACGATGAGGATTTGGACAGAAGTGGAGTGGATCGGGGGGGGGGCAATTTTGGGTTGGGCGCCCCGCAGACAATTGAAAGAATCCGGATCGAACCGGTTAGGCGCAAGACGACCCACCGCAGACACCAGCAATTACATGCCCGGCAGAATGGTGTTGTGAGCGGGATCACAGACTTAGTTGGGGATGCGCACAGTGTCTTGCCAAGTATTGTGAAGACAGGGGGGGACATTGCTACAACTCCCCCCACACCTACTTCGTCCATTCTTTCTCCCATCCCAGAGTTGTCGAGCCTCAGTATTCCGTCCAGCTCACCTGGGACCGTGGTCCCTTCAACCTCACCTTCGGATTCTACGAGCTATCCAGATGTACCGGTCGGGAGCACCCAACAAACGGTACTCAGTTCTACCCCCCCTCCGTCCCCAGCGGAGACATCTCCTGGGATGGTAATACCGCCCATCACAAATTCAGACATTATTTCTACTTCTCTATTGACAGCCGAGTTGTCGTCGCCGAGTTCTACTTCCTCGTCGTCGTCCACCATAGTATCTCCATCAACTACCGTGACATCCTACTGGCCTTCCATCATTACGAAGAACGGAACCACAACTAGTAAGTTCTCCGGCCCTTCTCCGCAAAACATACAATCTCGATGGCTGCCATTGACCCACTTTGCGCAGGCGACACGCCGTCGGCCTCTAGTATTACAATTGATGGTACTGTTATTGTGTTTACATCAGCTCCATTTCCAACAGGAATTAATAACAGCACGTTGAGCCATAATACTACCACTTCGTCGACTTCGCTTTCGTTTACCTCGGGTTGGTCGCTTAATAGTACAACGACAACAGCATCGTCGACAACAACAACAACAACGTCATCGCACTCGTCAGAATCCCTGTGGCCTACCACTGCAGATGCTGGAGATGGAGGAGGGGGAGGGGGTGGTGTAGCGCCGACAAACACAGCGCCATCGGTATCGCCGATCCCAACCGAGGGTTCTGAAGGAGGAGGAGGAGCACCAGTTAGTCCCAGGCTTCTTGGTGGCGTGCTTGGAGGAGTCGCCGGCATCGCATTGATCCTGCTGGCTGTTCTCTATTTCGTGAAGCGCCATAAACGTGAGCTTGTGTTACAGGCGAGAGATGATGCTGGGTATGGTGGCCCGGTCGAACCAGCTGGGGACCAGCCTGTGGCTGTGGTACCGGGGGAGAGGGGCTTTTACAAGGTCTCGGGGCGCAAGTTACCTCCTGTGATCGGAGGCCCAAGACCGGGGGAGCTTGCTTCCCCAAGGTCTGCAGCAGGGTCTTCATACTATCATGATGATGAAATCAGTTGGATTGGAGGACCAGGAACCCCGGTTTCTTCTGCGGGCGCGGGGCCCTCAAGGTATTCTGGAGTTTCTGGGGGCGCCCCGTCTTCGCCTACAATTCCTACCGCTCCTGGAAGCACCACCGCTCCTGTTGGACCTGCACCTATCCTACCGCCCATTGGTACGGCTATGCCAGCAGGCCCTTCGAGGATCCCAGAGGAGCACGAGAGCGATCCTGAACTTGCCTCTCCTGGCGAGTCCATGCCACCACCACTTCCACTACCAATTGCCAAAACACCGAGCGCCCCGGGCAGTCAGACTGATCTTAGTCTAACGTCTCCTACACGACCTCCGTTTTCTGGGGGGATGAGTTCTGTAAGTGTGGGGAGTGCGGGGAGTGGGAAAGAGGGACGTTCTACAGGAGGGGTACCCGTATCTGCTGGGCCATCCGTACCCCCGGCCTCTGCAAGGCAAAGGAGTGCTGAGCGGGCAGGAAGCGCGGGAAAGGATGGGGTGGGCAGATCGTTACCATCACACGATGGCTCTCGGGCTTCACGGTTTACCGAGGACATTGTATGATTGGACTTTTGCCTTTTTTTTTCTTAAGGTGAGGAATTGGGAGTTGGGAAACCAACTTTGAATCGAGATGCTTTTTTTATTTTATTTCTGGTGATTGCGAAGGGTTGGCTTAATATGTCCTTTTCTGCTTCTTGAGACGCCTACTTTCATGCTTGCTACTATTATCAAACGTAACCTTTAATGCTTTCTTTTTTTTTATTACTATTTTCTGGCGTTTCATTCTTACCCCCCCACCTTTCGTACTTGGATACCCATTTTTTTTGCTTCTACCCCTGTAAAATTTTTGCAAACATATCTCTTGTGGAGTTTGAGATTTTTTTCTTCTTTTTCTCTTTCCTCTCCAATTCATCTGGGGTTGCTTTTTTCAGCCATACCGCCCACCTCTTTCACTTAGGTTTTATATTCATGTCTATTACTGACTCTTTTTCCCCCAGAGGGAAGAGAAGTTCCCCTATTCGCCTCCCCTTCTATCCCGGCCGTAGGTGCCGTACCGCGCCATACCTTGCTCATGGTCCGGACATACCTTTTTTTCTCTTCACCTTCCGACGCATGTATTAGTAGTACTTACTAACTCGCTTGCACCGTACCTGTCTACCTATTGTACCCGCCGTCGGCCATGCCCACCGCACTGGAGTGGAGCATGGGGAGAGGGAAGGAGGAAGAATGGTACTGGTGTAAACGTGCATACCGCTCGTCGTACTGTACCTTTACCGATCACTCTGCATCCTCGCACCCGCCTCCCCATATTAATATTGTTTTATAAAGTATAAAGTAAACAGCCCCTCAACCCAACCCAACCTATGATACGATATTAATTTATCTATTCATTACTCTACCTACCGCGACATGTGATTGCGCAAAAGCCCCCCCCTCCCCCCAATCTACCAATGAACGGGAAGGAGAGGAAGCGAGCGGCCCACGCACTGCGCATGGCTGGTGGTGAAATAAAACGGTTTTTGCGGATTGCATATTTGCTTTTTTTTTTTTCCTTTTCTCTCTTCATAATACCATTTACCTGCCTGTATCGGCGAGTGAGAGGGTGTGAAATGTGCACTGTGCTGCACGGTATCATACCGGACTGTACAGTGCATGATTGATCACTCGTTGGATGAGGGGTCTCGTGTCGTGTTGCATTCGTTTGGGTGGCCAGCTGAGCTTTGGAGGGTGGGGGAAGGGGGGGTATCGTGTGTAGGGAACAGCGTGTTAATATCTCATAGCGTGGGATTCTGTGAGGAGGGGGAAGTTGCTCCTATGCGTGTATGTACGAAGAGGTACAGGTACTTGTACCCGAGTACAGCGCCCTACATGCGGGGCGAGGACCGGGGGGGTGCGCTGTATCTTATCGTGTCGGTGGTTTTTTCGCCGTGCGGATTTTTATAAGGTCAAGTGGGTCAAGTTTTCTGGTTATTGTATCATACAGTACTCACACTGTATGAGTATACAATGTGAACCGGACCGAACAGACCGGACGAGCGGAACTACCGGTATCATACTGAACCACAATATTACAACTTTTTTTTTTTTTCTTTTACCTTTTCGTTCCGCCAATCGCGCGGTACTGTACAAGGTACCATACGTATGATACCTACCAAGCTATCCGTAGACTACCGGTATCACAATCCCAGACACGACCACGATGGACAAGCCAACCTTGGCTAGCCTCACGCCCTTTTCACGCTTGATCCGCGGCTGAGGATTTCAAGAGTTGTATCATACCTGTAATTGTGCCAAATGAGTACAGTATTTGTACTTTTCTGCATTGTACTAGTACAGTACTGCTACTACTACAACTTACGGTACCGTACTTGTACTTTAGACTATCGACCGAATTTTCAAGTCATGACGTACAGTATCATACGTCGCACCGATGGGGGACCCCGCGCAGCATTCCCCACTAACCGACCAACAACCAAGTAACTTAACCGGCAAAAAAAAAAAAAAAAAAAAAAGACCGAAGCCGAACTGTGGGGAACAAGTGAACTTTCATGGCGATTATCTAGTCTATTTTGCAAAAAAGTCATAAGTTGACTAATCCCGGGGGGGCAACTTTGAAAAAAACGTTCTGGTAAACTTAGACCTACTGTACTGGTACCCTGCCTACCACAATTCGTACTAGTACTAGTACAGTAAGAGTCTACTAAATTACATCTTTCAACAATTCCACCTCAACATGCCGACGTACAGTACTAGTACAAGTATCGTATGCAATCAACCCGCTTCAAGTTACGGTACTTTTCAACTCACTCACTCACTCACTGTACTAAGTACCTGCGGTACTGTACTCGACGCGGGGGTGCGGGGGTGCGGGGATTGCGGATTATATACTATTATTAGCGCTACATTTCCCGACCGCCTTGTTGACTTGACCCGACTTGACTTGAGTAAGATACCTACCGGTCGTCCGTACGGATCGTCATACTTCTGAGATATGTAGCGTAAAATACCTGTGTGGCGTTCTTGATTCGTGTGTTGGGTTCCGACCGGTTCGGTTCGGAGGTGGGGAGGTTTTTTTTGTCTTTTGTCTCGTCTTGCGATGTTTAGACTAAGACATCACCGCTTTACCTGCGCGAGTGAGTGAGTGGGTGAGTGAGTGAGTGAGTAAGGTGGGGTCGGGGTCGGGTCGGGTTAATGGATTTTTTTTCTTCTTTCTTTGTTTCTCGGGATTGTGTGCGTGTAAACCTTTTATTCTTCCACTATCTCACCTACTAACTAAAGTAATCGGAGTACGGCATGGGATACTGCCCCCAGCCCTGGGCCCCCCTCAATGTAACCTTTCGCTACACCCCCCTGTAGGCCATACAAAGAAAACTCCTGCTCCCCCCTTCCCCTTTCCCCTCAACAAATTTGGTCCGTCATAAAGGAAACCCACTCCTGCCCCCAGACCCCGTGGTCGTAAACAAATAAAATCCACCAACAAAGGAAACCCATTACTGCCCCTTGGCCCCATGGTCGTAAACAAAGGAAATCCAATCAAAACAAAAGAAACCCATGCCTGCCCCTGGGCCCCATGGTCGTGTACGTTATGTAACCACATAATGAAATCCATCAGACAAAGGAAACCCACACCTGCCCCCTAGGCCCTGCGGTCGTGTATGTTATGAAATAACCAGTGGACCAGCATTGCTCCCCTGGTCCACTGGGCGCCTCCTCCGTGTCCTTCCACTGTTTGTAGCCTATCGGCCCTTTCTCGCCGGGTCATGCTTCCTGGCATACGCCGTTTCGTGTTGTATGTCCCTCAGCACTGCTGCTCCGCATATCGCGCACGGTCGTCGCGGTCTGGGTTTTACCGGTCTCGGTGTTGGTTGGCTCATGGGTAGATTAATGTTGGCTCTGACCACCTGAGCGGAGTCTGGCCATTGGGTATCGTCCCCATCTTTGGTCATTTCCGGTTTTCCTTTCAATTCTGGTGGCCAACTGTCCATCCACTGGAGTAGCTCGCTTTGCCTCTTATTGTCGTGGAGTCCAATTGTCATGGCGGTCGTTACCCCACACCTGTTCGCTAGGTGGTCGATGGTAACTATGTCTTGGCTACATGGCCATTGTCTTCTGGCACCGGTTATTTCCTGGTATGGCCAACCCGCCGTTGCCCTTAACCCTAGCAGCCTTTTGAAATCTTGCCTGGTGAGGGAGTGTAGGTGTTTGTACGATTTACCGGGCCTTCCTTGGTACCTGGTCCCTTCGTTGGCGACCTTTTCTATCCAGCTTTGTTGCAATTAGTCTTTGAGCGCGTCTTTACCCAGCTGGTAATTACCGGTGGTGGCGATGATGTCTTCCGCCCCGTGTTTGGACATCCATTCCTTTGTCCAAATGTTGTGGCGGTCCTTGGTGTTAGCCCGTAGCGCCAGCAAGTTTTGTCTGAATTGCATCATGAGGTCCAACAGCGGGATTCCGAGTTCGGTAAGGAAGGCCGAGGTTGGTGTTTTCTTTTCCAGTCTGAAGGCGGTCCGGATTATCTTGTTAAGGGCCGCCTGCGCTTCTCTTATCAGGCCTTTGTTTCCCCATGTCTCTATTCCGTAGGTCAGCTGTGGGATTATTAGTCCCTTGATTAGTCGCAGTGTTGTCCCTGCGTTCATACCACCTTTGCTGTATCTGGACATTACTGCCCTTATGCGGTACCGGGAGCTAGTGGCTTTATTAATCTAGTGCCTGACATGGTGGTCCCATTTCTATTTGTCTGTTAGGAAGTATCCGAGCCATCTTAGATGGCCTTGGCTGGGTATTTCCTGGCCCTGTAGGCGGACTTCAAATTTGCTCTGTGGCGGTGTCTGCATGAAGATCGTTTGGGCTTTGCTGGGTGCGAATTCGTATCCGTCGTCTGCCGCGGTTTCATCCAGTCATCTAACGGTTTCCTGGTGCATTCTTTTTCCTTCTCCCGCATCCCGGTATGTCATTGCTATTAAGATGTCGTCCACGTACATCAGGACCTTGGTTTCCGCTTTTTGGGATGGCATGGCCTGCACTTTTACTGTTTCTAGCATGCTGATCAGGAAAAGTATTGGTGACAGAGTGAAGCCCTGTGGTGTGCCTTTATCAGTAGCATATCCTCTGGATATTCTGCCATTGAACCGGTAGCTAGTCGTCCTATTGGTGGCCCAGTGCCGGACCCATTATGCCAGGTGACCTGAGCGCTTTCGGAGCCTGTCGCATACCTTTCCCATCTGTAAGTGGTCGAACCCCCCTTGGACATCGAGGGTGGTGATACATTTGCCGGCCTTCCCCGTGGTGTCCATTACGTTGTTTAGGGCCTGTATAGCATCCATCGTGCCGTATCTTTTCCTCCCTCCGAACATGTTGTCTTCTAGGATTTTGAGTCCTGCTATCCGTATGACCGCCGCTCTTTCTAGGGTCTTTGCCAATATGGATTGCAGTTGTATCGGCCGCCAGCTTTTTGCCACTGTATATGAAGGTTTGTTTAGTTTGGGTATCAGTATAGTGGTACTGACCTTCCAGCCTTCTGGGATCCCTTCTCTCCACGCCCGGTTCATCATCCTTAGGAAAAG